TTTCTGAAATTTCCCTTCTCTTGTTTGTATGCTTTGTGACAACAACGTAATACTGTAAGTGCTGTCAGCTTGTTAGGGTCCCTGAGATCGAGAGTTTGTTATACTAAACAATAAACTAATAAATTGATAATCATAAAACTATTTTCTCCTTTACTGTTCAGGGTATGTAAGAAAAACAAATAATGATAATGATAATGATAAGCGACAAGGTTTTACAAAAGAATAAAACATATTCTCCCCCAAAATATGCCTTAAGTTGCTAAACCTAGCAGAATAAACTGACAGTAAATCAGACTACTTTACATTTAAATATCGCTGGCAATTTTAAACGATCATAAAAGGCAGACCACATTTTGGAAATGGCAGGACTAGGGCTAATTGGAATTATCGTTTCATTAATCATATTTTGTAAAATTAGACTGTAAAATCGTCCGATTAATTGTAAACTTATTCTGGGTCTTTCGGATTAAGATTGTTTAAAAAAAAAACTTATTTTTATTATATTACATTTGTTCGTAATTTTCAACAAAGTTTTAACTGGGAATTTTAAATTTCAAAAGGAAAAGGTAAAATTTACGATACGACATTATGACCTCGTAACTCTTTTAGATTTGATTTTATGCATGCTTTTTTTGATTTTTAAAAGTTTTATGACAGATTTATTAGATGCAGAAAAAGGTTGAACATCTAATAATTAAAAAAAATACTTTTTCCATAATCTAGACAGCCATTCCTTATTTGAAAGGTTTTTTTGAATCAAAATATTTATTTATCATGTTCTACGTTAATATCATGTTCTATGTTAATATCATGTTCTATGTTAATATCATGTTCTATGAGTAAATTACACAATTACACATCGTTTATCAAATTTTATATGTATTACATTTTAAAATTGTGACGAACACATTACAACATTTTCGATTTTTAGTATGAGAGTTGTTCTTATCATATAACACTTCAATAAGAGGAGTTATGAGAACATAACAAATTTACCATTTTTACATCAGAAAAAGAACTAAACATAAAATTAAAGATTTGATTTTATATTTAAGTTAAGTTCTCCAAAGAAATCAAGTTTCTTCTTAAAAAATCGCAATCAGAATATTTTGAAATAGTTTAAAATATCAAAAAAAAAACTATGATCTATTTCCAAACCAAAATGGTGTTCGTGTTTAAGATATTTAATATATTTGTGTCTGCTCACACAAACATCTTTTACATCGATTCATTCCGCTTGTAACTCCTCCCCTCTAGTGGCGGTCCTGTGCGGAAGAGCGCCCAACTGCGCATGCGCAGATAGGCGCGGAACTGGCTGCGCGCATCCCTTCTCGTGTCACCTCAAACCGGGTAGTATTACACGGAAACCTGAGACATATATTTGTGCTTGAACCCGTAATTTTAATCTAATACTCGTGTATCCAAACCTTCATGGGACAATCGATATCCAGGCTTTGATAATCGATACCCTGGATATATATATATGTAAACAATACATAGTTCATCTTTATCAAACCAAACATGCTGAGCAACTAAGGCAAGTTTGAATTTTGTCTGATGTTTTTGGATGTTTATACAATCCCTTGGTGTTTATCTAAGCTCGTATGTTTGTGTTTACTCCAAGATACAATTCAGTTTATTATTTTTGTAATTATAGTACACTGAGAATACAACATTAAAACTTAGTTAAGTGATATTTCTCAGATCTGTGATAAAAAGAACTGGTGATAAAATACTGTAAAGATGGGGTTAAATCCCAAGAAGGTTTAAAAAAGAGATATGTTTTTTTCAAGCAAAGATAGAAAAGAGTGCTGTGCTGGTTAAAAAATCACCAAAAGAATAAAGCAAAGTTAAACATAAAATAAAATATGTAAAAAATTAAAAAAAAGTAGGCTTTTATTAATCTTGAGAGGGATCCTCTGCATAAAATTTTTTTTTTAATTCTTATTTTTCATCCTTAATTTTCCTGGTGAAAAATTAGATTGAACTATTTGTAAAATTTGCGTAGTTTGCTATGATCCAGTAGGGCTCATATTTTTTTGTTGAGTTTAGACCAGTCTTACATTTGAACAATTCTGAAATCCACCAAAAAACGAGAAACATTTGTTAATTAAAGTTGTTAGTTCACATTTTATGTATAAATTAAATTATAGTTATAGATAATCTCTAATCTAATATCTGAACCAGTTTAATTTTTCTTGAGATTTTTATTATTGTTCAATGTACAGTAGAAATAGTTATGCAAGGGGAAACTTATATTCTTCTAAATTTAACTTTACAGTTAAAAATCAAATTTTTGAGTGTTTCTAATTTTTAATAAACTAAGATGAAGTTTATTTTTTTTTGTGTTTTTACAAAACAGAGAATAACAAATTTAAAGTTAAGTATTCTGATGATATCTTAGACAAAAATAGTGGGATGAATGCACAACAAATGTTGATGTCAGTTTTTCTAGTTTTCACAATGACACGATTAAAAAATTATAAAAAAAAGCTGTTTCTTTTCAAATAACTTTTTTTTGTTCATTTCTGACTTTCAGCCAATTTAATTTCTTTAAAATTTTAATTTTCAAATGTTAATGGCTAAAAATATGGGGAGGGGGTTTATTGGAAAAAATGTGTTTTCCTCCTGCCACTTTAATTTATTTGTCTCAAATATTCTTTTTAAGTTTGTAAATTTAATTTCAATTTCTTGATTAATTTCTAACCAAGAAAAACATTAAAATGGTTCTATAGTTTAACTTCGAAGTCATTTTTCTTTTTTAAATCTAAACTAATGATTGTTGCTTTTCAAGTGGCCATTTATTTCTGAATTTTTTTTTTTAAATGTCTAAAATAAAAATGAAATCGTCATTTGTTAAAAATAAAATTTTCACCTTTAATGAACCTTCCTCGGGGGTCGTATAAGTTGCCACAAAAAAATTGAACCATATATGGGTTTTGCCGTTTTTACATTATTGGTATAAGAAACAAGTAAAATTTATAGAATAAAATATTCTGATTCCAATATCTTTGCAACCTAGCTTGTGGTGCAAACCTTTGATATTTCAAACTTAGGTTATTTTATTTATAAGTATTAATAGTTTGGAATATCTAAGGTCTACGGCATTGGGTTGCAAAGACATGGAGATTAGAAAATCAGAGTTTGTGGCAAAAACTCAACTCCTTTGTAAATTTAATATCAATATCTTGATTAATTTCCAACCAGGAAAAAACTAGAATGGTTCTACAGCCTAACTTTGTAGTCATTTTTCTTTTTTAAATTTAAACTTATGATTGTTGCTTTTCAAGCGTCCATTTATTTCTGTATTTTTTTAAAATGTCTAAAATAAAAAAAGAAATCGACATTTATTCCAGATAAAATTTTCACTTTTAACCTTCAGTAAACCTTCCCCGGGAGTCGTATAAGTTGCCACAAAAAAGTTGAACCATATCGGTTTTGCCGTTTTTGCATTATTGGTATAAGAAACAAGTAAAATTTATAGAAAGATTTCTTTTTCGTTTATTTTCTAAGCAGTAAAGTTAAACAAACTGATCTGTTCCTCTTATGTTCATAAAATAATTTTAAACATCTTAATATACAAAAAACACTTTAGGCTGCCAAAATGCTCAGCGCCCTTTAAACAAATTAATTTTATAGTTTAAAGGTTTAAGGGTTTAAAGGTTTAAAGATTAATAGGTTTAAAGGTTTGAAGGTTTGAAGGTTTGAAGGTTTAAAGATTTAAAGATTTAACGGTTTAAAAGTTTAAAAGTTTAAAGGTTTAAAGGTTTAAAGGTTTAAAGGTTTGAAGGTTTAAAGATTTAAAGATTTAAAAGTTTAAAAGTTTAAAGGTTTAAAAGTTTAAAAGTTTAAAGGTTTAAAAGTTTAAAGGTTTAATTGTTTAAAGGTTTAAAGGTTTAAAGGTTTAAAGGTTTCAAGGTTTCAAGTTTTCAAGGTTTAAAGGTTTAAAGGTTTAAAGGTTTAAAGGTTTAAAGGTATAAAGGTTTAAAGGTTTAAAAGTTTCAAGGTTTAAAGGTTTAAAGGTTTAAAGGTTGCTGAATCTGCGATTTAAATCAAATGATAATCTCTAATTGTTTGTCTGTTTGTTTGTTTGTGTGTCCGATCATAACTCAGGAACACCTGAACCGATTTGCCTCAAATTTTGATGATGGAACGCGGTAAAACCACGGAAATGTTCTTAACTTGGTTTGAAAATTCTAATTTGATTTTTATTGAGAAAAATTAGGTTCAAGGCAATGCTAGATTAAAAAACGAAATTAATACTTTTATTAGTATAAATGATTAGAAACGTTTGAAATTAATTTTACTTCAAATATTTCTAAAAATTCAAATCTAAAATTCAAAACTATTTGATCTTTTTTCATGCAGAACAATTTACTGAACAATTTATTAATTATTTTTCATGATATTTTTTACTTTTTATTTTTATTTTCTACTTCGAACTTTTCAAACCATGAAAATTGATCTTTATAATCCCCTCACTCAACAACGATACTCTAATATTTTAGCGCTCATTCCCCCCCCCCTCTCCATACATCCTTCCTCCCATTGGTAAACATTCTGGGGAATTTTGGGCTGGGGAATTCTTTTCCATCAATAGCTTTATGAATATATAAGAATATAAAAAGGGATGGATTGATATACATGAATGAATATAAAAGAATATAAAAAAGATATGGATTAATAAATGAATGGATATATAATGATTTAAAAAGGGATAGATGAATGCATGAATAAATATATAAGAATATTAAAAGAGATGAATGTATATAAGGATGGAGGCATGAATGAATGAATGGGTATAAATGAATAAATGAATGTATAGGAATGTACAGAGGGGTGGGAGGGATGGCCTCTGATTCGATTCCTGGTATTCCTTCAGAACAACCGTATTCACCCTCTCCAGGTATTATTATTATTATTATCATTTTTATTATTATTATTATTATTATTTATTATCATTTTTATTATTATTATTATTATTATTTATTATNTCTCTGGGTTTCCTTTGGGGGAGATGGGCGGGGGGCAGACGTCCCTGGCCTCCTCCCTCTCTTCCTCCTCCTCTCTCACTTCATTCGGGTTCACGCAGGAACAAGTTGCGTGTGTTTGTGAAGTTCTAGAACAATCCGGTAGTGTAGATAGATTAGCCAGGTATCATTGTAATAATCATTTTCCTTACAATAATCTTTATCGTTATTATGATCTTTATCGTTATAATAATCTTTCTCGTTTTAATGATCTTTATCATTTTAATGATCTTTATCGTTATAATAATCTTTATCTTTATAATGATCTTTATCGTTATAATGATCTTTATCGTTTTAATGATTTTTATCGTTATAATTATCTTTATCGTTTTAATGGTCTTTATCGTTATAATGATCTTTATCGTTATAATAATCTTTATCGTTATAATAATCTTTATTGTTATAATGATCTTTATCGTTATAATGACCTTTATCGTTATAATTATCTTTATCATTATAATTATCATTTTCGAAATAATAATCCTTGTTATTGTTATCTATGATAATACAATTATCATTATTATTATTATTATCATTAATGTCATTATTGTGAATATTTTCATATATTATTATTAAAACTATAGATAATAAATACACACATTTATTAACACTAAAAAATCTCAGTTAATTATAATTGTAAAATACAATTGTTTTTTTTTGGTAATTTTAAGTATAATAATATAATCCGTTAAGAATGCAAAATCTAATTTATTCCTAATAATAACTTAAAAAGTAGTTTCCCAGGGTGGGAATTTATAAAGGGTTTCCTAGTGTAATGACAGCTCTACATAATTAATAAGTTTTATCCAGGATTAAATATAAAAATTATTATAATTTTCATAATTCGGTCAGATCATAAATAAGAAGCTTAGCTATAGGAGAACTTTGGTCCCCCCCCCCCTACCTTCTTGTACTTTTTAAAGTCGTCTGTGTTGTTCAATCGATATTTATTACTTTTTTACAAATGTTTTCGTTCAATAAATGGGATTGATTTGTTTTTATATTTGTGTTTTTTTTTATTTCGGTTTTGTTTAATGTTTAAACTTTTAATCGTTTTGTTTTCTTGTCGAAATGAATTGTATGGCTTTCTTGAAATATTCAATAATATTTGTTTTGTAAAATTAAATAAGGAGGTTAAATTTATTAAAAGGGGGGGGGGAAGAAAGGATTTAACCGCATTGATCTTTTATACCCTCTTTTACACTTGTCTTTTTTAACGCTTATTTTCTATGATTAGGCTAACGAAAACCTTTGCTACGCATACACATTGAATTAATTATCCCCCTCCTCTCCTTTCCTTTTCCCTTCTTTCTATTAAACNTAGTTAGTTAGTTAGTTAGTTAGCTAGTTAGTTAGTTAGTTAGTTAGTCAGTTAGTTAAGTTAGTTAGCTACTTAGTTAGCCAGTTAGTTATATAGTTAATTAGTTAGCTACTTAGTTAGTTATATAGTTAGTTAGTTAGTTAGCTAGCTAGATCGTTATTTTTTATGCTTTTCCAAAGCATTGCAAAATTTGTCTCGCTAAACTGAAATATTTTGCTACTTGTCATGTCTGTGCAATTCTTTTACGCAATCTTTGCATCTGTTCTACACTCCGTCAGTTATAATTATATGTCTGCGAAAAAAAATCCTTAACATTTTGGGTGGGAAAACGTCAACAAAATAAATGTTCGTTGTTGAAAATCTTTAATCCCTCGCGTTGCCGTTTACTCGCAAATATGTCCTTTTATTTTATCATTCTTCAATCTTCGGGTTTCCAGGTTTTTGCAACTCGTTTCGTCTGTATGGATTAAAAATGGAGCATTTTTTACAACTCGCTGTCAAATTCAGTACCCCCCCCCCCCCCACCTACCTTGAGAAAAAGTGGACTTAAAACATTTTTTTCAAATATTACTGCATATAAGGCCTGGGAAACACTTTTTACAAAATAAATGCTGAAAATTAATAATTATATCTGATTTTTTCGGAATTGCACATTTGTCGCAATGTCGACAATTTTAGAATGAATTAAAACAAGACATGACGGACATGCAGAAGGGATTGGGGAGTGAGGGGAGGGGGGGGGATTGACATTAATTCCTACATTTAGGTGTTCGGTTTCACAATCTATCTATGTATCTATCTATCTGTTGGATAATCCTGTAAAATGTAGATGTTTGTACAGATAAAACTTAAAAAGCCCAGATTCCGGAATAATGCAGGACAAAATTCAAACTCGAAACTTTAGAAAATATCCTAAACCATGCACTCAATTTTTCTTCTTATGTCCAACAGAATGTCCAAAGGCAAAAACTTTTGAAGTTTTAGGGCTCATGCAGTTTCTTTCCCTCTCGCTTAACCTTTAAAGCTCACATAGATCCGGATTGCTTTAACGCTCACATAGATCCAGACTGCTTTGACGCTCACATAGATCCAGACTGCTTTGACGCTCACATATATCCAGACTGTTTTGACGCTCACATAGATCCAGACTGCTTTGAAGCTCACATAGATCCAGACTGTTTTGACGCTCACATAGATCCAGACTGCTTTGAAGCTCACATAGATCCAGCCTGCTCTGATGCTCACATAGATCCAGACTGCTTTGAAGCTCACATAGATCCAGACTGCATTGAAGCTCACATAGATCCAGACTGTTTTGACGCTCGCATAGATCCAGACTGCTTTGAAGTTCACATAGATCCAGACTGCATTGAAGTTCACATAGATCCAGAATGCTTTGAAGCTCACATAGATCCAGACTGCATTGAAAAGCTAAATCGATTTTCAAGACGGGGTTTTGAAGTTTTACCTCACAAACTTATACTTATATATGTTTGTAGCCATAGATATGCACATTCTAGAACATTAAAGAAGATACTTTAAAAAGCTAAATAGCTCAAAAGCTTTAGTTTTTGCAAAGTTTGCCAAATTTGCAAAATTTTTATCGATTTTTGCGTGAACATTCAGACTGCATATTAACAGTTTCATCAATTTTTATGAGGGTCGCAACCTTAGATTTTACCGCTCTAACTCACTTATGCTTTTCTGCAGTCCTTTATATGTACATTTCAGCACTATAAAGCACTTGTTGTTAGCATTGGTTTTAAGGAAGTAATTGGCAAAATTTTCATCGATTTTTGCTTGAGAGCTTGGGATCTTTAACTCAGAGTTCGAGGGAGCAACTGGACCACTGTGCGCTAAATACCCTACACAATTCTTTCCTAAATATCTCTTGGATATGCTTCTAGTTTAGTAACCGGTTTAACCTTGTATCCTTCAATTCATAATTTAACACTTTAGCTTAGCGCTGTCTATTTCAAAAGTTTCGTCCTTAAAGAAGACAAATTTAAAATGTTAACTTTTTATTTAATAAGAAAGCAAAAAAGTACTCGTTACTGTTTCCAATCTATTTGAATAAAATGAAACAAACTTTTTTATTTGCGCTTCAAAATTATTTCTTTAAATTGTTTCCCCTTACTTTACAAAAACATGTCTGAGTTTGAATGTAGATTTTAATTAAGAAATTGATAAAGTTAAAGGTTGAGAAATCGTAGATATTAACCCCCACCTGTGTAATATCATTCAGATTCATTAATTTTCTAAAAAAAAACTAATTTAAAGAAAGAATATTTGTTGAAAAATGAAAATGTCTGCGAAATCCGACTAAAAATCATTTGTGTAGAGTGTATTTTGTGTAGAGTGTAGAGTGTAGAGTGTAGAGTGTAGAGTGTAGAGTGTAGAGTGTAGAGTGTAGAGTGTAGAGTGTAGTCATACCTCACTTACTTACTTCACTTAATTACCTCATTCTTACATTCATTATCTTCCTCACTTTCGTAGTAACGTACAAACTTACCTCCCAAAACCGAGAATGAAGAGAAAAATGGAAGGGGGGGGGGGATGGAAAAGATGGGGTTGGATTAAGATATGGAAAATTCTTGCAAAATAAAAATGCAGAACCTATAAAACATGATAAAGTCCACAGTTGAGAATTATAATATAGACAATAATATATAGATAGATACAAATGTAGAAAAATTGGTATTGTTTCAATGTTTTTAAAGAATCGGTTTTGGTTCCAAGAACCCATAAGATGCCCCTAAAATACTTTAGGTTTCTGTGGTCCCTGTCCCCTTGTAAACCCCTAGAATGACCCTAAAATGTTAGGTTTTTGTCGACCCTGCTCCCTTGTAACTCCCTAGAATGACCCCCTTGTAAGCCCCTAATATGATCACTAAAATACTTTAGGTTTCATAGGTCCCTGCCCCCTTGTAAGCCCCTAATATGACCACTAAAATACTTAAGGTTTCTGTGGTACATGCCCCCTTATAAATTCTTAGAATAACCCCTTAAATTCTTTAGGTTTCTTTGGTCCCTGCCCCCTTGTAATCCCCTAATATTACCCCTCAAATATTTTATGTTTCTGTTGTCCCTGCTCCCTTGTAAACCCCTAAAATGTTTCAGGTTTCTGTGGTCCATGCCCCCTTGTAAACCCCTAGAATAACCCTAAAATGTTCAGGTTTCTGTGGTCCCTGCCTCCTTGAAAAACCCCTAAGATGATCCTAAAATGTTTAGGTTTCTGTGGTCCCTGCCCCCTTGTGAGCATCTTCACCGGAATGAGAGTGTTTTGAAAGCCAAAGCTTTAGTTTATTTTCACAGAGGAAACTTTAAAGTAAGTGATTAAAAAAAGTTTAAAATAAAACAAAATTATAATAATTTCTTGTTTAGGATTTATATAAAATTCTAGAAGGGTTTTCGTTTTCTCCTCATAATCATCCAAAACTACAGATGTTGTGGATGAAGGCTCATTATATTGGTAAGACAATTTCAAGATTAAATTAAATAATTCAATTAAAAATATTATTCAAAGAATTATAGAATTACACGAACTATTGGAGTAATTTAAACATGTCAAGTTACCTTCTCTATATGCCGGCGTTTCACGTGGGAAAATTTTTTAAATAAAAATTTTGAAAAACTTCCTTTTGCTTTTTTAGCCTTTGCTACCCCTGGGTTCCCTAAAAAAAATGTCAGCCCATTCGGTCCAGCCGTTAGGCCGGCTATAGGGAATATATATTCGAATGTTTTGTTTTATTATATAGATATATGTTTTTTTATATAGATATATGTTTTATTATATAGATATATGTTTTATTATATAGATATATGTTTTTCTATTTGTAAAAATATTGCACTAATTCTCAATGAACTTCGCAGAAAAATCACAATTGAAAATCATCAATTTTATTCGAGACAAGTATGCGGATATCTCATTCATTTTTGGCCAGAGTCTAACATATAACACTATATAACTGGTGGAACAATTGAAATAACATCTTCGCTCTACAGTTCCATTTAATCGAATTATTTTGTTCCTTAAAAATATTTTTTAATTAAAGAACATAAACCAATAACCGCGCTGGAGGGGGTTTGTTGCCTCATTATAAAACCACTGGATTGAAATATATTTTTAAACCCCTTTTATTAATTTTTCTTCATTATTAGAAGCGGAAAAGTTAAGAGGAAGACCGTTAGGGGCTGTAGGAAAATATAGGTAAGTTTAATAACACAAAACACACAGCATGAAATAAATATATTTTAATATTTAACTTTTATTATCAACAATTTGTATTAATTTTCAGAATACGAAGAAAGTTTCCTCTTCCACGAACTATATGGGACGGAGAAGAGACATCATACTGTTTTAAAGAAAAATCCCGCCAGGTGGGCATTGATGGTTCATGGTGTCGATACAAAGGGCTGAGAAATTATTGATTAGAAAAAATTAATTATGGACTGATAGTGTGGTGTTAGGGCGCACATAAATCAATTTCCTCGAGCCAAACGCGCTCATTATGCGCGTATGATAACCACCATCCTCAACATGGTTCAGACCGGACATTCGTCGACGATTTTGAATTCGTCCAATTTGTATGACCAAACACACTATTGCTTCAAAATTTTTAGCAAAAAATCTTTTTTAAATTTATCGAGGAAAATGGTTATCGACGTGTGGTATGCTTGACTATTCTATAAGTTGATGATTTATTACTGAACACCGTCAGTTCATCCTTGCCTGCTTATATGGTCAAAATTCAAGCTCTGTGTAGCACCCTATGAATATGATTATGGCCCGAAGATTAAAACATTACACGGGAGATTTTTAAACAAGAATTTTGAATTATGATTTCTTGACAGCTGAACTTCAATTAGTTATCAAATATTTTTTTTAACTCGCCTCAATATAATTGTCAAAATGTTAAAGATTTATTTTTAATAAGATGGAGAGCCCGGCGTTGCCAGGTCTTATTTCTCCCGCCGTTTACCCGCGCTGAGTTCCAATATGATTTCCTGAAGTGCCCAGAGCGTTGCCCGAGGAATTTCAAAAGTTCAATATTTAGCCTAGGTTACCTCCGGGATTCCTATGGATTCACTCAAAAAAAATTCTTCCTATTTGGTCCAGCCGTTTGATCAGCTAAAGCGAACATTTTAATGAATATATAAATATATATATATATTTTATTTATTGTTTTTAACCAGCAGAAACACACAGTGGCGTTGTCATTGCCCCTGAGTTTCTGTATTTTTTGCCCACTCCACGGAAAACACAACCTCATTTTGATAAACAAGTGGTTTTACTGTTTGGTCTGCTGCATACCTCTAAGCAATTTAAAATTTTCAACTGAAACGTTTTTGGGGTTTTATATGGTAACCTTTTTATCCTAGGTTCTACATGGTTACTTATTATCCTAGGTTCTATAATGGTTACTTATTATTCTAGGTTCTACATGGTTATTTATTATTCAAGGTTCTACATATGGTTACTTATTATTCTAGGTTCTACATGGTTACTTATTATTCTAGGTTCTACATAGTTACTTATTATCCCAGGTTCTAAATGCATATCTATTATTCTAGGTTTACATCATTATTTATTACTCTGGGTTCTACATGGTTAATTATTATTCTAGGTTTTACATGATTACTTATTATTTTAGGTTCTACATGGTTAATTATTGTTCTAGGTTCTACATGATTACTTATTATTTTAGGTTCTACATGGTTGATTATTATTCTAGGTTCTGCATGGTTAATTATTATTCTAGGTTCTACCTACATGGTTCCTTATTATTCTAGGTTCTACATGGTTGTTTATTATTTTTGGTTCTACATGATCAATTATTATTCTAGGTTCTACAGGATTACTTTTTTTTCTAGGTTCAACATATGGGTGCTTATTATTCTATGTTCTACATAGTTACTTATTATTCTAGGTTCTACATGGTTCCTTATTATTCTAGGTTCTACCTACATGGTTCCTTATTATTCTAGGTTCTACATGGTTATTTATTATTTTTGGTTCTACATGGTAAATTATTATTCTAGGTTCTACATGGTTACTTATTATTATAGGTTCTACATGGTTAATTATTATTCTAGGTTCTACGTGATTGGTACACCCATAACCCCTATCCGTCGCCAAGAGAAAAACGAGAATTAGCCGAGGCAACGGGACTTACAACTACACAGGTATAGTCTCATTTATATATCCTGTTTCCTGTATCTTGTGTCCTGTATCATATTTCCTGTATCCTGTATGTATCATGTATTCTGTATCTTAAATCGTGTATCGCGTATCATGTATGCTGTATCCATCTTTTACATATTATATATCTGCATAAATATATTTACTAATTTAGAATTTACAATTTTAAAGAAACAAATTCTGTTAAAAAAAATTTGAATTAGAAAAAAAATTTCGAATTAAAAATTTTTTTTTTTTGCCCATGTCACCCCACCCATGTCAGTGTTCCCTAAAACATTTTAGCCAATTTGGTCTTAGGCCAGCTAAAGATAACTTATAAATATATATGTTAGCAAAGAGCTTTAATTTATAGATGTCTATTTTATATATCTATCTATCTAGGTCAGCAACTGGTTCAAGAATAGAAGGCAGCGTGATAGAGCCGCTGAAGGGGCCGGGTAAGAATATTTACTTACTTTCATACCTCAGTTACATACCTCACTTACATACCTAATTTACATACCTCACTTACATACTTCAGTTACATACCTCAGTTACATACCTCACTTAAATACCTCAGTTACATAACTCAGTTACATACCTTACTTACATACCTAACTTACATACCTCACTAACATACTTCAGTTACATGCCTCAATTACATACCTCACTTGCTTTCCTCACTTACTTACCTCACTTAATTACCTCACGTACATACCTCACTTACTTACTTCACTTAATTACCTCATTCTTACATTCATTATCTTCCTCACTTTCGTAGTAACGTACAAACTTACCTCCCAAAACCTACTAACTTAATCGCTTTCCTACTTTACTTACTCACTTAATCACTTAACTTTCACTCACTTCCTCACTTACTAGGCTTTACTTTCTTTTCTATCTAATAAAAATGAGTAGTAGGTAAGAAAAAAACATTCCAAATATATTGACTCGGGTATTTATAGCTAGATCAGTCCTAAACTACTGAGTTTAGAAAAGTTAGTTCACTGGGATTATTTAATGATTATAGAAATTAGAGACAGAATTTATAAAAGATGTCGCAGTATTGAACGGTAAGGGATATTCAGCTGTTTAAGTTACATCTTTTGATATAAAATTGACATATTTTGAAAACTTTTATTTTTTTTGCAACGTTTTAGATTTTCCATCCTTTAAAGCTATTTAGATATTTCCCCCAAAAATTCTAAGGAAGGGCCCAAAATCGACCCATTAGCTAGTATTAAGCCAGAGTTTGTATCAAGGGTCAGCATATAATGTATCCTTCATGGTATATACTGTGTATATATGTTGTATGTGGTGTAAGATGAGATGTTGAATACAATTATTCTAGGATTTAGGTAGGATTAAACACATAGATAGATAGATAGATAGATATCTTCTCCTCTCCATCTCCTTCTCCTCTGTATCTTTTTCTCCTTTATATCTCCTTCTCCTTTCTTACTTTTTCCTAAAATTGAGACTTTGAACTCAGACTGACAGACCTTGATATTTTGAACCTTTATTTTTGCTTCATATTTATCATATGTTCATAGAGCTCGTTTTGCATCTAAAAAATAAATCGTCATATCATTTATATTAGAAGCGTTTGCAATTTTGCATTTAAGTACGAAAGATGAAGCGAAACAAATCAGACCCCCCCCCTTTTTTTATTGCTGACTTAAACAAAAAACTAAATTCCTGTAGATAACACATTTTAAAATGTTGTTATTTGGAAAAAGTTGAATTTTGTGAAACATTATATTTTGAAGTTTCGAAGGACAAGACTAAGCCCATAAGCTTTTGTAGAAGACAAATAATAAAGTGGCCTTGCTAGCTGTATGCCTAGGAAACAAAGCATATTCTCTATACATATAGTCAAGTATATAACTTATGTTACAATTATATTAATTTTAATATTTACATTATCTTTACTTTAAAAAGTTTTTTTAAAAGAAAATAATTATGCAATGCTAATGTGGAAAATTTAACTTTAAAAACCGAATATTTGATCATAATTTAATTTCTGTTTATCCTTTATCCTTTTTTCTAAGTGAAAAATTTTATTTAAAAAAAGATAAAATGTAAGAATGTAGATTAGGACGGGTAAATGTTGGGTGAAGAATGGTTTGATGTAAAAGATTGTGTTGTATTTGAGTTTTCAAGCTTTAGATCCTTACTTTTCTGACAGGTCTGGGCATTTGATCAATTGCAGCTGTTTAGTCTGATTTTCAGACCATCAAAGCTTTGTTTAATCAATAGTCTGATTTTTATTTAGGTCTGACCCATGATGGTAGAAAAATGTCTAATATTTGTTTTCTGGACAAACATGTTTAACGAGTAAACATTAGTTTAGAAAACATCTTTCTTTTATCTTTGTGTTTGCAGAGTTGGCTACGGCCGGGGGGGCTTGTTTGTAAACCATTCTTTTTTCAAGGGAGGGGCCGTGGGGGGGGGGAAGGAATGTTAAAAGACACATTGAAACGTACTAGCCATAACTACAAAATAATAGTTTATCGACATTTTCAATTTGAACTTTTATTATGCAAACTGAAACATTTCTTTGACCCGACCTTAAAAATCAGACTTTTGGGTTTAAAATATTTGTGTTTGAGCTGCCTGGTAAAAACTACGAAATTGTGACTAGGGCAGGGTGGGATCAAATTACCGAGGTTTTGTGGGAGCTTAATCGTGTTGAGCCTAGGACAGTTGGAATACTCGGCTAGAGCTAGAGAGCAGATTTAACAACAGTCGTAAAACCGCCGCTAACATGGCGGCAACAAAATGTGAAAATCTACGAAACAATCTGGAGGAAAATCCGGGAAAAGAATATCTTTACAGTTATACGCGCATTAAAAGATGTTTTTAAGATAATTTGATTTGATTTATAATGAAGGTATTTAAAAATAACATAAATTTATTGTTTACACTGTTTATATTTGTTATACTTTTAAAGAGACTGTGTAGACATAATTTCAAGTGACCCATCATTTTGTAGCGTGGCATATAGCGCTTCCCTTTAAATCTCAAAAATGACGGAAACGTTTGTAATTGTTGATATAACTTTGGATACAAACTGTTTACAGAATATCTTTGTGAATGGAACATGGAAGGTCCCTTGAGATTACGTTTAATTTTACAGTTTCTTTGAATTATTGAATTTGTATATAGATATAAAACACCTTACTTTTTAAAGGGAAATTTTCGTTTTTCTCTTCTAACTTTTTGTTATTAAAAATTGTTCCCTTCAGCCCCCCCCCCGCAATTGGGTATTAGGGGGGGGGGGAAAGGGGTCACCCAAAATATTTTTATTTCATAAACCTTATATATCGCAAATAAGACTTGGCAGCTTAAGCATTTTTTTGAGAGAGAAGTCTCTAAATTGTTATGTTTCAGCTAAGAATCTCGACCAAAAACCCGCTATTTCATTAAAAACTCTTAAAAAAGGATTTTTCAACACACTACTCTCACTAAATAAAGGTTTTGGCGTGCTGCCGGCTCCCCTAAATATTTTCTATATGGCTGTTAAAATCTATTTATATATTTAGATTATCCCAAAATCCCTGTTCTTTCTTGTACTTTTGCTATAAAAAATATGTTTTTCTTTCGAAATTCTCGCTGTAACAAAGACGACATCTAAATATATTGTGGGATTACAGGATCCATTCAAGGATAAATATACGAACGGGAAAAGTAATTATAAATTGACATCATCATAAATCAATGCAAGCTACAATTCATACAATTTTTGTAAATGAAAAGATTATCAGAACATATTCATTTTGTCCATTCTCGCCATGAAACACAAGACAAATGCATTCTAAGAGGAGTATTTTAACAAAAACTATCACCCCCCCCCATGTGGGAGAGGGGGGTTGAAAGGGGGGAGGAGGGTGGATGGATGTTAACAAGAATAGGCTTGTTTTATTAAACTGGATAGATTAAGGCCTGAGGGGCCCTCTTAGATGAATAAGGGTTGGATAACGGGCCCGGATACAAGAATAAGGGCTAGGTAATGGCCCTGGATGGAGAATAAGGGTTGGATAATGAGTCTGGATGGAGAATAAGGGTTGGATAATGAATCTGGATGGAGAATAAGGGCTGGATAATGAGTCTGTATGGAAAATAAGGGCTGGATAATGAGTCTGGATGGAGAATAAGGGCTGGATAATGAGTCTGGATGGAGAATAAGGGCTGGATAATGAATCTGGATGGAAAATAAGGGCTGGATAATGAGTCTTGATGGAGAATAAGGGTTGGATTAAGGGTCAGGACCGATGGAGGATACGGGTTGGATTAGGGGTCAGGATGAAGGATACGGGTTGGATTAGGGGCCAGGATGGAGCCTGGAGGATATGGGTTGGATTAGGGGTCAGGATGGAGGATAAGGGTTGGATTAGGGATCAGGATAGAGGATAAGGGTTGAATTAGGGATCTGGATGGAGGATAAGGGTTGGTTTAGGGATCAGGATAGAGGATAAGGGTTGGATTAGGCTTCCGGATGGAGTATATGGGTTGGATTAGGGGTCAGGATAGAGGATTAGGGTTGGATTAGGAATCTGGATTGAGAATAAGGGTTGAATTAAGGATCTGATGGAGGATAAGGGTTGGATAAGGGGTCGGGACGGAGAATAAGGGTTGAGTTAGGGTTGAGGATGGAGGAAAAGGGTCGAATAGGGCCGGGTAGGGGCTACTTATTTTATCTACTAAATTTAGTCACTAATTTTTCTTACTTAATATTACTCACTATTACTCACAAAATTTTACTAACTAATTTTTCTTACTGATTTGTCATCACTTAATTTAAAATGAGAAGAGTAGAGGAGTAAAAGAGTAGAGGAGTAATAATAATAATATTGATAATAATAATAATATTAATACTTAAGGCTGGGTCCAGAGAGCATGCTCGGAGATCGTCGTCACAAAGACGAATTAGATTCTGGGGAAGATTCAGACAACGGCCGACACGATAATGACGAAGTAAGGTTGGGGGGGACGAAGAAAAAATTTCAAAAAATAAGAAACACCATTTTTTTCAAATATGTTTAGATACTCTTTTTTACAAAAATTCTTCATAAAGTCCTGATTAAAAGTTTGAGAAAACAAGGTTTAAAAATACTACTATATAATGGTTCTAAATTCCTCGTGGGCGACGACGACGTCTCTATCAAAGATGAATTTTAATGATTCATGGTACAGACTACATGTCAAGAACCGTATACAAAACTTATGTACAGTGATAACCACAAAACTCTGAAATAGGAAGACGACTTTATAGCAATAGTTAAGTGTATTTTATATTGTTACAAAGCAAATAGTTTTGCAACGCAATTCACCTATTAATTCACTTATCAAGTGAAATGGGTCTGTATACACTGCAATATAGCTGTGGATTGTATAACATCCGCCCAACTGTACATTCGTCCTACGATACCTCGGACCTACCCGCACGTGGTTTTTCAGCAGCTTCAAGTTGCTGTTGATCCGATGTACTGTAGGTCGGATACACACTTCATTAAGACAAAAGTTAGTGTATCCGGCCTACTGTAGGTCGGTTGCACAGCTTTCTTAAGCTGGTTTCACTTTTCTGTAAATCGGATGCATAATACGTGTAGGCCGGATGCACAACATTAGTAGGTCGGATGCACAACTTCAGTAGGTCGGATGCAGAAATTTAGTAGGTCGGACGCACAACTTTAGTATAGGTCGGATGCACAACTTTAGTTGGTCGGATGTACAACTTTAGTAGGTCGGATGCACAACTTTAGTAGGTCGGATGCACACTCGGATGCAGAATAAATATATTAGCCTAACATAATCCCACATATCGGCCGGATTAACATAATAGAATGTACATCCGGAAAGGACGGAAATGCCATAGCTGTGTCCGATGTTATTTAAAGTCATAACTTGAGTCTGAAACTTTCCATAGTTTACTGGTTATACCTGTATAAAAACATCATTACAGTGACTGTTAACAAAACTTCAAGACACATCATTTAAAGAGTTACATATCCGATTCCCAACGGTACCTATGCAAGCGCATTGTCTGATCAAGAATGAATGATATGTCTAAATTTTTCCTTTCTTCAAAAGTGACTTGTGCATTTCTGCTTCATATAATATGATACATGACATTTAACACTTTTCTAGAAAGGAAAAGAACGATATCTTCTACATTAATATTCAGATAAATATATTAATCAGACATATGCACACCGTAATTAGAGAGGGTCAGTTTAGATTGCAACGACAGTTCCTTAAATTTAATTTTAAAATTGTAAATTTGTTTTTAAATTCTAGGATATATCCTCGTCCCCCGAAGGACCTCCTTACACCAAGAAGGTTCCCCACGGTCCGCCCTGTGATCTGGACAAGCTGAAGAGCGAGGGCGGGATGCCACACCCCCTCCTTTACCAGGGTATGGGAGACGGGTACGGGAAGCTTGGCGGAGACATGTACGGCGATTACTCCCGCCTTTTCCAGGGGAGCGGCGGGGATTATTCAAAACTTCTCGGAGCCGGAGCTAATGATTATAGTAAGCTTCTTGGAGCTGCTCCTAATGGTGGTGATTACGGAAAGCTGCTCGGTGCAGCTCCCCAGCATGGTGATTATAGTAAGCTGCTAGGAGGGGGTTATAATCCCTTTATGCAGGGAGGATATATGAATCACCAGCTAGCTATGGGTCAACCCCAGATACCAGGAATAGTTCCTACAACATACTAGAGGGTTAATTACAGTACATGCAAAATGCAACTTAGTTTATGTACATTAGCGAGCCATGTACTAACTATCTTAATATACAAACAGAAGTAAATTTTGTACAAGTAAACAAAATATACAAGTGTATGTACACTTGTAAACCCTGTACAATGTACATGTAAATCTGTTTTTATCAAAACTGGTTCTGCTGGTTCCTATGCTTCCACTCTAGTTCATTTCTTCATTCACTTCTTTGATATTCTTCAAATTGTAGATTGAAGAACATGTGATGTTAGCTCTTTAATAATTAACTAGTCATCTGACCTACAAACCATCCAATCTACCTACAGACCATCCAACCTACCTACAGATCATCCAACCTACCTACAGACCATCCAACCAACCTACAGACCATTCAACCAACCTACAGACCATCCAACCAACCTACAGACCATCCAACCTACCTACAGACTATCCAACCTACCTACAGACCATCCAACCAACCTACAGACCATTCAACCAACCTACAGACCATCCAACCAACCTACAGACCATCTAACCTACCTACAGACCATCCAACCAACCTACAGACCATCCAACCAACCTACAGACCACCCAACCAACCTACAGACCATCATCTAACCTACAGACCATCCAATAAACCTACAGATCATCCAGCCTACCTACAGACCATCCAACCTATCTACAGACCATCCAACCAACCTACAGACCACCCAACCAACCTACAGACCATTTAACCAACCTATAGACCATCCAACCAACCTACAGACCATATAACAAACTAAACAACCATCCAAAAATTGAACCTAACAACCAAACAATCATCCAAATATTCAACCTAAAAGCCATCCAACCATACAACCAAACAACTATACAACTATCCAACCATTCATACTAACAACCATCCGAACATCCAACCAAAAACCTAGCAACCAAACAACCATCCAACTATCCACCCGTCCAACCAAAAATCCCCTCACGACAGCTAAGTATTGCTCAACCATAAACTTCATTTCTATTTACATTTAATAATTCCAAATAAATGATAATGCCATATTGGTTTTGATATTTTTTAAAGTTGGGTTAAATTGTTAACCAAACTGTGAAAAATTGAGTGTGAATTAGTCATAGAAAACTTGAATTTGTACCCGCCAAGAAGTTTAAATACGATTTTTTCAAAGCAAAATGAGTAAATTTGCACCAAAAAATTATCCCCAAAAATGTAATCTATTTCGTGTAATATGTAATATTTAATATGTAAAAAGTTTAAGCGGTTGTATTACACTTTCTTCCCTTGATATTCAATTATTGTGTTATATAAGAATATAATTGATTTTAGAATAATAATATGTATTTAATAAAAGTCGTCATCTTTTCATGGAGTTGCGAACTTATTAGTGGAGAAGAGTAGAGGAGTAAAAGAGTAGAGGAGTATAGTAGAGGTGAGGTGTAGAGAAGTAGAGGAGTAGAGGAATAGATGAGAGAGAAGCAAAGGACTGATTGGTTCTAGTAACCGACAAGAACTGAAACCTGATTGGCACCGGCAACGTCAGAAACTTCTGCTTGTAATAAATACAACGTTCACACATCAATTTTCACTAAAGTTGTTCGAAAGTTCCTGTTTGTGGACTGTACGGTATTGAGAAGATGTAATCAGTATTAAATGAGGAACATGATGTAGAATTTGATATCCCTGCAATGTTAGGTAACAGTACACCTTGTAAATTAATATTCAGAGAAGTAAACTTGAAACAGTTCCCAGCCTGCACAAAACTGAGTTTTGGAACACAGTTTTCAGGCATTTTAGTTTCAAACAATTTTTTTTAACGTTTGAGGATATTTTATTTTAATTAAATATTGACTTTAACAAAAAAAAAGAAAATCTGGTAATATCTGAGTGTTAGTAATTTGGACCCCTTCCCCTCCTCATGTTTTTTTTTGGCAACCATGCGTGACTATCCATCCATCTATTTATATATGTTTACCCAAGGTAATAAGGCAAGGAAAGTTAATTGCTGTTGCGTATTTTCTGCGTAAATATTGAAACCAGTTCTCTCTGGGCTGTGTTTGTAAAACAGAATAGATTCATCAGTATTCCTCTAGTATTCGAGGAGGATAACAGCATTTCAATAATTTTGATAATCCACATAATATTTTACTAAGACCAGAATATTTCATAGATTTTCTTGTGAAAGATGGATCCCATGTCAGGCTTTGACTTCCGTCATGTGTTTACTTTACTGCCCAGAGACAGTACACTGCATGCGGAACACAAAAACTATCTTTACATTATAATTCTCATGAGTTTACCTGTCCTTTAATAGTTTCATCAACAACAACCGTCGTTGAAAATCTTTTATGTTTTCAATCATAACTCCGCTTATAGATATCGAAGAGCTATTGAGAAAAATTAAAATGGTTTGCATTTCTAATATGTAACCGAATAAATTAGCTTTTTCATACGCAAAATTAGAAAAACGTCGTTTAAATTTGACTTTCTCTCTCTGTCTAGTGTCTAATTTGGACATAAGTAAAACTATGTTATGATCTCTTTTTTAAAAATAAAAAAATCTTTTTCTGTTTGATAGATTTTTTTCCCTATGCATCATCTAAAATAAGTCTCTGTTTTAGTTTTATACTTTTTAATGTCTACAAAAAAAATTTTAATATCTTGATGATCACGATATTAAATGAAAACATGGCTTTTTTATTTATTATATTATATGCAACTTTTTTTCTTCATAATTTCGTTTCCTTATTTTAGGCAAGCCTTTTCTTTGTTAATCTCTATCGCGATCCCTAACTATTCAACATACTTATTCTATTTATCCGTTTTGTGATCTTATCCCGCGAAGTTGGAAACTCAAAATTATGGCGGCAAATATCAGCGGCACTAAACGTTTGGCGGCAAATATAGGAGTGCGAGTTCACAGACTTTCTAACAGTTTACAAATATGATTTTTTATCCCTTCCCCCTCCCTCCCTCTCCCATCTCTCTCTTCCTCCTTTCTGCCTCAACATAAGGCATCACTATGCACTGTAACCCCCCCCCCATGCCCACACTTTCAAAGCTAGCATATAGCAATGAAACAGCTTTAATTAACAAGCTAAGATATATGTATCATATCTTACGAAATACTTATAATTAATCATATATTCAATCTACACTGTGAGCGAATGTACAATACGTAAAATTGTGAAAAGGCCGTTTGCTCTAATCACGTGAAATCAAAATATTGTACAAAATTTTTTCAGATTTAGATCAGTTAAAAACACAAAAGTCAGACCAATTACACTTCGTCCTTATACAAATATATCAATAAATTGTTACACTTAAATGGTAAATGAATTGCTATTACTGAATTACCGATGAATGGCCAATGAATTGCTATTAATGAATTACCGATGAATGACCAATGATTTGCTATTAATGAATTACCGATGAATGGTCAATGAATTGCTATTAATGAATTACCGATGAATGGTCAATGAATTGCTATTACTGAATTACCGATGAATGGTCAATGAATTGCTACTACTGAATTACCGATGAATGGTCAATGATTTGCTATTACTGAATTACCGATGAATGGTCAATGAATTGCTATTACTGAATTACCGATGAATGGTCAATGAATTGCTATTACTGAATTACCGATGAATGGCCAATGAATTGCTACTACCTTATTACCGGTGAATGGCCAATGAATTGCTATTAATGATTTACCGATGAATGGCCAATGAATTGCTATTAATGAATTACCGATGAATGGCCAATGATTTGCTATTAATTAATTACCGATGAATGGCCAATGAATTTCTATTACTGAATTACCGATGAATGGTCAATGAATTGCTATTACTGAATTACCGATGAATGGTCAATGAATTTCTATTACTGATTTACCGATGGATGGTAAATGAATTGCTACTACTGAATTACCGATGAATGGCCAATGAATTGCTATTGATGAATTACCGATGAATGGTCAATGATTTGATATTAATTATTTACCGATGAATGGCCAATGAATTGCTATTAATGAATTACCGATGAATGGCCAATGATTTGCTATTAATGAATTACCGATGAATGGTCAATGAATTGCTATTACTGAATTTACCGATGAATGGTTAATGAATTGAAATTACTGAATTACCGATCAATGGCAAATGAATTGCTATTACTAAATTACTGGTGAATGGTCAATGAATTGCTATTCATGAATTACCGATGAATGGTCAATGAATTGCTATTACTGAATTACCGATCAATGGCAAATGAATTGCTATTACTAAATTACTGGTGAATGGTCAATGAATTGCTACTACCTTATTACCGATGAATGGCCAATGAATTACTATTAGTGAATTATCGATGAATGGCCAATGAATTGCTATTGATGAATTACCGATGAATGGTCAATGATTTGCTATTAATGAATTACCGATGAATGGTTAATGAATTGCTATTACTGAATTACCGATTAATGGCCAATGAATTGCTATTACTAAATTACTGGTGAATGGTAAATGAATTGATATTCATGAATTACCGATGAATGGTCAATGAATTGCTATTAATGAATTACCGGTGGATGGTCAATGAATTTCTTTTAATGAATTACCGATAAATGGCCAATGAATTGCTATTGATGAATTACCGATGAATGGTCAATGAATTGCTATTAGTGAATTAATTATCAGATTAACAGATGAATTGGCAATGAATTACTGTTACAGGGTAAAGGATGTTAATAAAAACCGATGAATGGCCAATGAATTCCTATTACAGTATTACCAATGAATGGTCCATGAATTGCTATTAATGAATTATCGATGGATGACAAATGAATTGTTATTAATAAACAAGCGATGCATGGCCAATGAATTTCTTTTAACGAATTGCCGATGCATTGCGGATGAATTGCTATTAAAGAATTACCAATGAAGGACCAATGAAATTCTTTTAAAGAATTACTGATAAATGAATAATTAATTATTATTAATGAATTACCGATGGATGGCCAATGAATTTTAAATTAAGAAAGAAGTACTTGGAAAGGAATTGCAAGTAAAGAAGTATTGGTAAATGGCAAATTAATTTTAAAAAGATGGTCGATCTTATATGATGTAATCGTCATTTCCACCGTAGATAAGAAAACTTCCCCTAAATCAGGTATTTCGCATGATGTATTAATAGCTATGTAAAACACTGTCATTTTGGTTTGCAGTGTTATAAAGTGTTTGGACAGAAATTTTCACTTTATCGAGAAGAAAGCCTTTTTAGATTATAATCTAAAAAGCCTAGAACCTTCGAGATGAGAAAATTAAAGTCCACAAACTTTATAGCACGTCGTGCCAAAATAATAGTGTTATAGGTAATTTTATGAAACGTCTATGTACTGTCTTATTTTAATGGCTTTTACTAAATCAAATAAGCTTTGAAACAAAGCTGAAGTAAAAATAAAAAGTTGATTTTAATTTTATTTTCATTTCAATTGGAAAAAATATTTTGAAAATATACTAAATTTTTGAAATAAAAACGGGAACCCATCACATGCTATAATGTACAGCTAATTTAACTTATAGCACGATGCTTACTTTATTGAACGTTGATTATGATTTTCACGATAAAGTGAATAGGAATGATAAAGTACAAAATAGTTTCATAAAATTCTCATTAAAATCTTAATCTAAGATTTTGCTGATACACTACACATATGTTTCATCTCTAAACTGTTTATATTGCTGTATTCTGTCAATCATTATATGCAGATTTGACATTTTAATTTATCATAATCTTGATGAGAGTGGGTCAGAGAGGATATAAATATGTAGATCTTCACACCCTTTTCAGAAGAGTGGTCTGAGAGGATTTACAGATATGGAGTTTTAACCCTCCTCATAAGCTTGGATCAGAGAGGATCTAAGGATACAGCTAGAGCTTTAACTTTCTTGATAAGAGTGGGTCAGATAGGATTTTATTTTACAGAGCTTCAACCCTTTTCATATAAGCGGGTCAGAGAGGATATACAGATATAGAGCTTCAACCCTCTTTATTAGGACGGGTCAGAAAGGATATAAAGATACAGATCTTTAACCCTACTCATGAGAGCAGGTCAGAGATTATATACTTATGTAAAGCTTCAACCCTCTCCATGAGAGCAGGTCAGAGATGATATACTGATATAAAACTTCAATCTTCTCCATGAGAGCAGGTCAGAGATGATATACTGATATAAAGCTTCAACCCTCTCCATGAAAGCAGGTCAGAGATGATATACTGATATAAAGCTTCAATCCTCTCCAGGAATGCAGGTCAGAGATGATATACTAATATAAAGCTTCTGCAG